CTGATGAAGGCTTACGCTAGAATAAATTGTTAATCCAGCAGCTCTGTAAAGACTCCTGTTTTTATTTGGCTGCTACAGACTCACACAGCTGTTTTACTAGAAGCCCCAAGATGCTTCTTCATGTTCTTGTGTGATGCACTTGACTTAAAAAAAAAAACCTTTAGACATTAGATTTTGGTCTTGTAAATCTTTGTGTGGATGACTGTGGTAATGTGAGGGTCTGTAGATACATTGGCCTATATCCAGTCATCTGCACAGAAGGCTGGTTTATCTCTTACGTCTCTCCATTCTTGCAACCCCTTTCAGAACGCAATTATTCCTGGGATTGCAGGCCCCTGTGTGGGCCCAGGTGCTGCAGTGGGGAGTTGGAATGAACCATTTCACCACCTTCTGTGTCTTCTGCCAGCAAAACTCCACTGATGAGAGAGAGAAGAGGGGTTACACCCCTTCTCCTCCTCACTGCAGTGCCCCAACCTGTGTAGCTAGTTATTCCTCCACAAAGTTCCCAACCCCAGGAATACTTCTGAAGGTCAGAAGGGGCTGCCAGAACTAAGGGGAATGTGGGAAAACTCCATGCATGTGTAATTGAATTGACCTATTTTTATGGCTGCTGTTGAGTGGTGGTGGGGTGAAGGGTTTTATAATTTACTCTTTCTTGAAGAAGTGGGGAGGAACATCAGATTGTGATATAGTATAATTGTAACCATTTAAAAGGCTTTTAAAAACTGATGGAGAATCTTAGGAATTTTAAGACACCTCTAAAATGCATCAAGGAGATGATCCAGTCTCTTGCTGTGTGCCATCTCCTGCTGCAATTTCTGCTCATTGTGTAGAATTCCCCCTTACCAGCTGCCCCATAAAAAGCTCTTTGATATGCATGGAATTGTGTTAGCCAGTTGCCACAGTGCTGCATGCAGAGGGGAAGAATAGGGGAAAATACCAGGCTGTCTTAATTCATTTGGTGGCCTTCTACCTCATGTCTAGGTAACTACTTTTAGCAGTCAGTGGGATATATACAGAACAAATAGTGAGTTCAGTATTGGATATGGAAATAAGCCCATGCCTATCAGTTACCAAGAGAATTGGGAAAGAATGTTTACAAGTGGCATCCAAACTAAAAACTGATTACATAAGCCGTGGCCCTTTCGTACACACCCAGGGGCATACTGATCACTGCTTTGGGGTCAGGAAACAATTTTTCTCCTGGCCAGTTTCGTGGGAGATCCTGGAGGTTTTTTGTCATCTTCTGGGTGTGGAACAGCAGTCATGGGGGGGGTGAGGGGGAGGGGGTATTTGTTAATTTTCTGCATTGTGCAGGGGGTTGGACTAGATGACCCTGGAGGTTCCTTCCTACTCTATGATTCTGTAATACGAACAAGTATGCCTATACAAAAGCTACTTCAGGTTTGGTACCTTAATCTAGGCAAGAATGGAAGTCTTGAAAAATCATGTCACTACATTTCAGCTGTTGATTTCCCAATATATACATGTAATAACTGTGCTGTTAGAATGGACAACTGAAGTTGAGAGTACTTTGATCCAGATAATATGGTGGGAGGGTTTAAACAAAATGATTTGTGTGGAATTGGAGAAACCAAAGAAGAAATCTGGAACTGTAGATTGTTGATACGTGCAGCCAAGCTATTAGAGTCAGTGTTTCAGTTTTAGTTTAAAATGTAGATTAAACCACAGGAAAAAATTCTGCTTTGCAAACCAAGCGCAAACTGCAGATTTGTTCATTTGTATGTAACATGTGAATCTGGAGATCCTGTAATGGCAAACCATGGTTTTGCTATTGGATTTCAACTGAAAAGACTTTCAGATGAACCTTATGCTTCAAATGTACCTTGGGTTCCTGATTCAACAAACATGTAGAGATACTTAATTGCCTCATACAATTTCTTATATAGATTAGACAATCTATAGTGCTAAGCTAAAATATTCAACAGAATAAGATGCCCATCTTTTTTCAGTCCTATTTGTATTGCTTTTGATTTTTTCCCCACAGGAATTTCCCCAGTCATTCAATGTTCTGTACGTTGGATGAACTATAGCAACTTTAAGTGACATGTACTTGACAAAGAATGAACATTAGAGTATTGAAGGCATTTATTTCAAGAATAGAAGAATGTAAAGAAAACAGAAGAGAATGCAGAAGAGCGCAGACTTATTTTCTATTACTCTTTGTCTCCAAATTCCCTTTTCTTTCAATAAATACTCTCTCAGCAGCCCTTTGACAAATGTCTGTTACTTCCTTAATTAAACAGTTAAATCTCTACACAAAGAGGTTTAGGATTTTGCATCAGATTGGACAAGAACATAAAAATTAGGCTATACGATCTTTTGATATAACAAGAAAAACTTAATAGCATTGATTTGTACTTATTTAGCTTGGATCTTTGTTTTCATTGGGATTCTAAATTTATCATGTTCAATCAGAAATATGTGTGAACAAGTTTGTGTTTAAAGGCCTGAATAATTTGAAAACATTTAGTATTCTTGCCGCACTTTGCATATTTTGGGGGTGAAGTGAATTAATGTGCCTTAGATTAAAACTAAGGGGCATTTTAAATTGTAGGCTTCAATTGTGGAAATTTTAACAAGTAGAAGAAATACAGAAGAAAGTGTGGCTGACCTGCTTTTAATTTACAGTTTCATATTTGAATTCTTCTTTTCCCCGTTTGTATAAACAAACATTAACTTCTTTTGCATTATAGTTGCTTTCCCCGGTTTTGAATTGGGGTCCTGGAGATAAGCTCCATAAGTATAAAATTTTGTACTAGGTGTGACTTCATTACAGTAACTGTGGTCTCCCCCCCCATCCAGTTTTCTAGTTTGAGGCTGTTCCAGCATATGTAATTGGCCTTAAATGATATTATTGGTTGCATATAAAATGATTACAGTAGTAATAGAAATTACAGAGGAAATCTCATGTGATGCAGAGACTGTTGCAGATAATACAGAAAGGGAACAGACAAAAGGAGGTGGCACCTGAAAACTGCTTCTAAAAATGTCTTCTGTTTAATTTTTTCCCCTTCATCTATTGATCATATGAAGCAGGAGCACAGTTAATCTGGAGCAGGAGCACAGCTATTATCTCAGGCTTTGTGAAAAATTAAATGAATTGAAAGTGTTTGATATAGTTGAGAATAATAAGCCTTGGAAGCATAAAATGATAGTATGGAAATATTGGATTGCATCCTAATGCATTTTCCCATGTTCTCATTCATAGCCTCCCCCCTCCCCACAACTGATACTGAGGGCCAAAAGGGCAGGATTGGGGGGCTACAGTGAAAAGAAAGGGTAGTTTTGCCTGGCTCTTTGTCCATGCATATCCTATGGTGTCTAGGAGCAGTATTTGATAGATCAAAAAGGGCACCAGGGGAAGGGAAATGTAAGAATATCTGTGTCTGGAAGTGTATTGCACTGGCAGGTGTTAAGATATGACCCATAAGTGAGTGTTACGGGGACACAGGAGTAGTTGATCGTATATATAATACAAAGTAAATGTAGAAGGGAAGAAACCAATTGCGTGATTTGAGGTAGTAGATTTTTAACAGAGTTCTGAAAGGATGGAAGAAAAGAACCATAAATGGAACAGGACTTTCCAACTTCACCCTCCCTTTGTCGTCTGCCGCTGGCAACCAAATACTGCCCCAGGGCTTGGTGGACCCCTGGAACTGCATTGGTCAACCTGTAGAAGACTTGTGGTGGGAAGGGGAGATATCAGCAAAAATCGTTGCCACCCAGCAGGAGTATCCTTCTGATGGTGGAAAATAGCCATTGAGTATAACAGTAACTGGAGAGACACATTGCAGGGTTGCCTGCAGGAGGTAGCAAAACATCACTTTGGGAAGGGGGAGTCAGAAATATTTTAAAAATCTTAACATATAGTATGTGTGGATAAAGATGTTTACAGAAGCCAGGAATAAGGTAGCTGCTGAACTAGCCCCTGACCAGCTGAAGAATAGAAGCTATGAATGACATACCTCAACAATGTGTGTTTGAAGTATGCATAGTAATTCCACAAGCTCCATTTGAATAAAAGTTCCATCAATAATTTAGAGCATTAACACAAATTCCAGTTGGTGATTCTACTAAACAAAACTAAATAGGAATTGTAGCATGTTTTCTTAATTCGATATACAGTTTCTGTTTAGGTAACTAACAGAACTATAGAAAATGTAGCCTAGGATCAAAAGAACCATGCAACAAATTCCTTGCTCAAGAGTAATTTGTATACCTTCAGTGATAGTCCCATGCCACATAGTAAACCATATATTTCTTAGTATTGCTTGCTGAATACATTGTGTTGCATCATTTTTTAAAAATGTGGTCAATTATTGGGACAGGTAACTATTACAATCAAGTGCATTTCATTATAAAGCCATATTCTCCAGATGGAGCATAAATTGACAAAACCCTTTAAGTGTCAACTTGGATTGTTCAGTCTCGATGACTTAGCTTTTCTCAGGCTCCTGACCTGAGCACTAGAGTTATAACAGGAATATTCTTGTCATCCCTCACTGAAACCTGTGTTTTTCTGTGTAATAGGTCTTCTGTTTCCTGTGAGGCTCCAGTGTGATATTGCTTGTGTTCTTCTAGAGAATATCTAACAATGAAACCATTTTTCTATTTCTCATAATGTCGTAATGTTATGAGTTTTCTAGGCTTTATACATTTGCTTGAATGCAAAGAATGCTTGCATAAAATCTTGTAATGGTTTCTGGTTTGGCACAAGAGCAGAATTTTAGATACCAGTGATGGTATTGGTGTCTTTTCTGAAAGGAATTAATGTTTCTACACAGGCTGCGAAACTGCCGTAGTTTATTGTGTTGATGCACTTTTTACAAAACACTACTTTTTGTGTGTGAGGAACTGAAATGTGACATTCTGTTTTGACCTGCAAATGTGTTTATATCAGATGCTTACAGGTTTTAATCACGTGGATTTTTGTCTACTTCTTGTTTTTAATAATTTGAGGATTCTCTTTTAACTAGAAATTATGGAGAAGTCGGGTGAGGAAGGAATGCCTGATCTTGCTCATGTGATGCGCATTTTGTCTGCAGAGAATATCCCAAATCTACCACCAGGAGGTGGTCTAGCTGGCAAGTAAGTGCAGAATGTAAATTAACCTCTAAATTATTACTCAGAACAAATGTGCTTCAGTTCTAAACAAAGTCCTTACTGGAACAATGCATGCAAACAAATCATATCATTAAATTGTTCAAATGTCTCAGTGGTAAATGCTTTTCATTTCAGAAAAAAAATTATGATTATGATTCCAGTTTATTTTTAAAGGGAGAAAAAGTATCCAGGTATTACAACTCTTGTGAGAATGTAACATGGGCTTATAGTTATTGCTGCATCTTTTAAGTCTGTTACTTGTAGCAGCCATTGTATGTTAAAAGCATTTTACCTTGGCCTTACACTAGGGATAATTTTAGTTTAACTCACTGTCTAGACTGAGAAGTAAGCACTTGGTTAAGGCTCACTCTGGAAGCCTGGAAGCCAATCTATTTTTTCCCAAAAAAGCACTCAGTAAAGGTTGTCTTGGAACTGTGTTTCACAGTGGTGGTGCTGGAGAAGCCAGCGTGGTTGAATGTGCTTGCCTCTTCCCCCCCTATCATTTAACTAGCTTACTGTATATAGAGAGCTAGCATGTTGGAAGGAGTCCAGATTTGGATACTGACATCACTTGCTTTCCTTCTGGTTCTGATCTAGGGGGACATTCAGTCATGAAGTTTTTCATCTTCATTTTCAAGTGGTTTAAAGCAGTAGTCCATTTCTATGACATTCAGAGGCCGTTGAGTAAAAAATGTTTTGGGAAAAACGAACAAATAATAAAAGAGCTGATATTAAATCAAGAACACTATTTGCACAGGCCTTTAGTGAAGAGTGAGAGTCTCTGAGACAGGATAAGATGCAATGGGTTGCTTTGATTCACCCAGGGCTTTTTTATATCTGTGTGTGTGTGTGTGTATTTTCTGTACATCGCTTGGATATTTAATGGACTGGCTTTAGCACAGTTTATATCCTTGTACTTTGCAGGTAGCTTATTTTTGCTTTTAGCATTGTGATTTGTAGAGCTGCAATTTGACTGCTTACATTTGGATCAAAATGGTTTTAAGAGGGCAACAGTTTCTTTATTTAAAAAAACACAGTTCCTTACAAAAACAGTGGCAAATGAATGACTCTTCTAAGATGTTTGCTTCACCATGTGTGTACATAATCAAAAAGATTATCTTCTTTTTTCTGGTACTGTTGTTCATTTTAAATTTATGCATTAATACAGTGAATTGACTTAAGGTATTTCTACATTGTGTGGCATCCTGTTCAGGTCAGTTTTGGCAGAAGTGCTGTGCACAGTGTAGCTTCCATGAAACTGATTTTACCCAAAGCACTTTTTCCACCAAAATAGCTATCTTTAAATTTCATACTGCATTAGATTTCATCTAAAACTACACCGGGTTATGCTTATTCTTGCTTCTCAAACACTTGAAATTGTGAACCTGCTAAGATCTGGGAAGCAGCAGAATTCTTAGTTAAATATTAGAGATTTGAGATGAAATCATTTAGTACAATCCTATTCAGAGCTGCTCCAATCTGAACCCATTTATTGAAGTAGACTAATAACTCTGCATATGATTGTCCTGTTAAAAGCAACTCTTGTAATTTCTCAGTAAAAATTACAGCAGCTTTGTCTGATAAGGCACTATTAATTATCCCAGTCTTGAAGATGCCAGGTATTTCGTATGAATGTGACCTATTACTGAATTCGTGGTTGATGTGAGACTTGAAAGGGGGACTTCTTCGTTCACTGTGCTGTGCCAGATCTGCCTTTCAAAGTAAATGTGGTAATATGTACTCCTTCAGAATTTCCGTGTCAATACATAAGCTATCAGAAATCCAGGAACATCAAAGTAAAAATAGACTGTTATTCTCTCCTGCATGCCCTATCCTAAACATGTCTATTTGTAATAGCCAGGAAGGAAAATCTATGCTCAGAACCTAGCTACCTAACCTTACTTCACAGACATAAACTATACTGGCGAATTAGAACCTGTATTAGTAGTAAGAATTCATGACTCACCACACTTCACCCAAAATAGGCAGTACAAAATTACACCAAGCTTGTCATTGGCTTCAAGTATAAATCCTGCAGTGTTAAAAGTTCTCAAGCTCCATTCCAAGTTTCAAGTAGGTGTTTTTTGTCTTGCCGATGTATGCAGATATATTTAAAGCTATATTTATGTCACAAACCTCTGCTGAACTAGAAAATTAATTGCTTCCAGTGCGACTTCAGATGTTACCTAGCTACTTGGTAGACTGTTATCAGTCCTTTGCTTGTGCACCTTTAAAATACATCTGCTTGCAATCTTGCTTTCTTCAGCAGAAGGCACATTCAGCTTGAATGCATTGAGGATTCACTTGATTCCCCGATACAGTGCGTGATGGCAAATTAACATATGAAGTATTTGTGTTGTTATATGAAAAAGTGCATCAAATATAACTTTAAAACATTTATCTTAATTCAGGCGAAACATTATTGAAGCTGTTTATAACAGGCTGAATCCACACAGAGAAAATGATGGGGTAAGTTTCACTTTTGCTGGCTTTCATTGATGCAGACGATGAAATTTCAGTGTAGTGGGTTATTATATGTATGCTGAACTACTCTGGTCATTGCCGCTCATGAAAGATCTTTAAATTTAAAGGGATATAAGTTTCCTAGGCCATGTTATTCTGAGATATTTTAATATAAATGGCTGTTGTTGCTTTAAGGGTCAACAATTTAAGCATTAAGACCTCTTACAGTGGAGCCTTGAGTCAGAAGCAGGTATAAACGAGCCTCTTCCTCTGTGGCAGAAAACATCTTGGTGGGTAATTCCCACTGTCTAATCAGGGAGGCAGGAACAAATTTTCAACTTCCCGTCTCCGTGGGAGTCACCCTCTTCAGTTCTTTTTCTGCCTCACAAGGGGAGCAGCTTAGATTAGGCTTTGCCTTCGTCTAACTTCTGAATTCTAACACTTTTCCTACATTTCTACATGCTAAATTCATGCCTACCTCTATATCTTATTCTCTGTAAACCTTATCTACTTTGCCTCCTACTTCTAAGCTATCTACAAGCCATCCCTGTTAGTGGCGGCCATTTTACTGGGCTGTCAGTCTCTAGAGTGAGCTCTTTTGACTGCTCACAAGATCAGGAGCTGGAAGCTCCCATTATCACAGGAGCTGGGAAGACCCGTAGAAAGTGTGACTTTCCCACCTCCCTCTTCCTGCTACAGCCCAAAATGTCCCCTGAAATGCTGCTTTCCCAGGCACAACAATTTTGGGGAGCATTTTGCATTGTAGCAGAAGGGAGAGGCAAGAAAATATTAAAAAACAATCCCTCCTAGCTAGTATAGCTACCACCTCTCTCTAAATGTACTATGCTACAACAGGACATGATTTTGGTTTGCAAAAAATTGGAATATCATTATTATCTAAAACAAGGCAGAACTTTAATATAATTTACCATTAGTGTATAAGGAGTGGAAAGTTACTTGCCTCTGTTGTAGTGTGCAACAGCTTGCAACATCTCCTAATTTGTGTTTTATTCTGGATTATATAAAAGTTGTTGTGGGTGATTTATCGGGCTGCCTTTTTCTTCAGCTTTGGTCCAAACCTGTCTCAGTATGTGTATTCATTAATTTCTGAAGCTCAGCATACTCCACCTACATCGAATGATGCCGTGCTGTCAGAACATGGTAGTCACTACATGGTGCATAATGGGTTGGTTTCATGCCACAAGTAATTCAAGGGTCCAGCAAAGATAACCTGGTGCACTGTGTGCTACTTTCATTGACAGTGTGTTATCCTCCATTAAACCTTTATTTACAGATTTATCATAAATACCTATATTACAATGGAGAAAGAATAACACTAGATAAACCGAACTGAGTATATCAGCTTGTTCAAATGTGTTGTAGTCTGTGAACAGCTTAATTAAAATGTGTTAAATGTACTGTTGCTCTAGTCTGTTGAATTAAGCGATTAATTAAAATGTTTAATTGCCCCTCCCCTTACATCTTTTTAAGTTTTAAACACCATGGCATTTTAAACACCAAAGGTCTGTTTTGGTTGAATTGACTCCCAAGTAAATGTAATGGCAATCTCAACCTTTGCATTGTAATGGTTTCCACCAGCAGAAGGCTTCTCAGCAGAAGGGAGTCAGAGGATACAACCCATATTTTGCCATGGAAAGCATTCTTGAATACTGAGAAATGGTTCAGAGGTAATGCAAACTGTAGCTTTGCATTTTATGAACAAGCCTTGGGTTCTCGTGTTGCCTCCTGACTTCACACACTTTAATTCCTTCTCCCCCTGCAGGTTCATTACACCTGAACCATCAAAATATGACTTGCCAGTGCCTTCCAGAATAGAACTGGAAACTATAGTTTTACTATGGACTGCAGTTTTGGCTTGGAGGGCAAGCACAAGCCATAGTTTTCTTAGTCCAGTACTCTGGTTTGCTTTTAAGTCTGGATGAGAGGGTGCTGCGAGATGCTTAGGCTTGTTCATGCAGCACCAGACATTATACATGAAATGAAGCTTTAGAATGCTTTCCCTTGACAGCTGGGATGGGACATATTGGATACTTTTTCTTCTCTTTACTCTTGTAGACAATAAAAGCACAGCAAATTGTACAGGACCTGCTTTCTGTTACCTTCAGAAAGAGCAGAATCCCCCCCCCCCACACACACACACTAATGTAGGCTGTGAGCTACATATTGACAGTATCCAGCAACTTCTGGTCATTTTTGAATATTCCCTGTCAGAAAACCTTTGTGTTTTGACTTGCCAGACTTGGTTGATATGGAGTGGGGGCAAGGGGAGAGAGAAACCTGGAGAGGGCCTGAGTTTCCCATTCATATATAAAGGTTTTAAAATGTAGTATGTTACAAGGATTTCAGCTGAGCTAACATGTTCTCTGCTTAAGCAAATCCTGAATAAATAATTAAGCTAAGAATGTTACCTTAACTGTGTAATCATTGTTGGGAGAGTACATGTCTAGCTTATGACCGATCTCTTAAAATATTTACACATGTATATTTTTTAATATACCACCTTTATAACCATAATATTTTCAAGGCAGTCTACAGTGGTGAAACCCAATAAATGATAGCAGCAGAACAACTTTTTAAAGAAAAGCAACAAAAATGTAACCTTCATAAAACAGCAGGGGGGAAATCAGAATATAAAGTTGTCTGGGGAGGAAAAAAAACTCCAACAGATAAAATTAGAGGATGCAAGTAACTATGAAATTAGTTTTGCAGCAGCGAAAGTAACTAGTTGAAGAAGAAAACTCACACATCACTTAGGCAAATAATAATTAAGCTTAGGAGAATAATTTTTTATCGGGTACTTAAAAGTGAACAAAAACAAAGGCTTGATTCCTATAGTGGCAGGGAGAGGAGCCCCACAAATGAATTGTAGCTACAGGAAAGTCCCCATCCCGCATGGCACCCCACCCCACTAAGCAGTGCCTGTGACCCTGCTGGTCTTAATATGTTCTTCTATAGGAACTTTCTTGCACATTTAGATTCCCAGTGATTAAAAGTTTTATCAATTTTGCAAAATTGTGCTAAAACATTCCCAGATGTAAATCACTTATGGTGTTTCCTTAACTTATGACAACATGCATAATTAAATACGGCATCAGTCGATACTAGCCAGCATGGTGTATGGGTTAAGTGCAGCAGACTCTAATTTGAAGAACTGGGTTTGATTCCCCACTCCTGCACATTCAGCCAGCTGAGTGACTTTGGGCCGGTCACAGTTCTTTCAGAACTCTCTCAGCCCCACCTAACTCACAGGGTGTCTGTTGTGGGGAGAGGAAGGGAAGGCGATTGTAAGCCACTTTGAGACTCCTTAGGATAGAGAAAATCGAGGTTTAAAAACTCAGCTCCTCCTCGTCTTCTACTAACAGGCATGTTTTTTAGTTTGCCACAGTTAAACTAGTCTTTATGTAGGGACGCGAGTGAATTCTGGTTCAGAATGCCACTGCCATTCCAAAAATGATATGTAAGCCCTTATCTGAGGAGTTACTGTTTTGGAAAACTTATTTTGCCATGTCTTCTCGTATAGCTTGTATTTGGGTTTTTTTTCAAACTTGCCATTAAATGAATACTTCATAACGTACGTTTTACCTTCTTAGTGTAATATGACTTAGAGGACACAAACTAGAAAACGAGTGCATAAAATATGGTTTTCTGAGTTACCAGAATTGTGAGAAGCTTCAGTCCTATGAGATTAATGATTCTAGTAATTGCTATGAGAAGTTGCCAATGGTTAACTACGTTTGTATTTCATAATTGGGCGGCTGTAATTTTTAATATTGAATTGTTACTCTATGCAGCATAGAGCTTTTCAGACTTCCAGTACAAGAACTAATTCATGGAACACGATTTTATTGATGAAAGCAAGTGCTAGTCTTTTAAATGTTCATTATGTATGAATTTAGGTGCTGCAGTGGCTCAGAGGTTAAGATGCTGAGCTGCAGACCAGAAGGTCGGTAGCTCGGCAGTTCGAGACCCTAGTGCCACATGACAGAGTGAGCTCCCATCTCTGGCCCCAGCTCCTGCCAGCCTAGTAATTAAAAAGCAAGAAACTGCAGGTACATAAACAAATGCCACTTCGGTGGGAAGGTAACAGCGTTCTGTGTGCCTTGGCATTCAGTCACACTGGCCACATGACCACAGAAAAGTCTTCAGACAGCTCTGGCTCTTCGACTTGGAAACGGAGATGAGCACCACCCCCTAGAGTCTGATTTGACTGGCTTTCAAGCAAGGAAAACCTTTAATCTTTTTATGTATGAACTTGGCTGGTTTAAGGCACAACTTTTATAATTTTTATTTACAATATAGTCACAAATCAACATAAGCCTATTCAAAATGAAGTCCAGTGATAAGAGACCAACATAGCAGTAGGATTGCTGAAACAGGTTAACATTTTATTATGTTCTGGCTGAATTCAGGGTGTTACAAGCAGAACAGCCCATTCCTGAAATGCTCCAGGATCAGAGGACTCCCTGGGAGAACATTGGGCATGATGGGCGGGGTGGATGTCTGCAGAAGGTTGGTAACTGGTAAAGATCATTCTGCCACTCTGCAGAAAGAAGACTTTTCAGTGCAAAAAAACTTTGGCTCCAACCCCATGTTTAAGAAGGCTTACAGTCCTTCAGTATAGGATTTTCTTGGCCTTCTGGTGTTTGAGATTTGAGGATGTCTGTTGAAGAATTTACACAGCCAAAGATATTGTACAGTAACCCCTGTTGTGTGCCTCAGGATAGATCTGTCCTTGGGTGAGTGTAGTTCATTGTGCTTGTATGATCAATCAAGTTGGCAGGAGGCTTTCCCTGGGCTATTTCATCTGGGTAAATAAAGATTCCTGTATAAACGTTGGATCTCGACCATCTTTTTCCTGAAAGATAAATAGCAACTAATTTTAATTAAGCTGTTCACAGATTTGTAATTTGTTGGTTTCAAAAACTCAACAGAATGTTACAGAGACCTAAATTATAAATGGAATCCTGCAGTTTACTGTGAATTTGAGTGAACACCATGTGCAACAGATGGTATAATATGACAGTGCGATTCTTTATGTTGATATTGCCTTCCATGTCACAATTTGGAAACTTAACTAGTAGGATGTTCTAAGAACTTCCATTAATGAAACTTTGCAACAATACTTTGAGATTGGTTGAAAGCTTGATTTGGGGACACAGAACTTTTTAATAGCCTGTCTAATGTATTAAATACTTTAAAATATCCTAGTTTCTCTACTGATTTTGGGGTCTTGAATCTTAAATAAGGACCCTGACGTAACTGCTGAAGGTGGAACACAGGGAAAGTTGGTGGAAGCTCTCAGACAAGTGAGAATTACTCATAGGGGGAATTACCGCCACCTTCTGGAGGACGTGCTGATTAGTTACAGGCTAGCTAAAATACAGGGAGAAGAATGCACTGCTGATGAATCTGCTACAGCATCAACTTCAGATAATGGTGATGGATCCAGTAACTCCCAAACAGGATGTGAGAGCCAGCTTCCTGAAATGCAGAATGCTAATGAAGATTCAAAGATGAATGATGAACAGTGTGATGAAAAGATGTGATATCTTCACTTGCCATACAGTTGACTGGTTCTTATATTAATCCCTCACAGTATTTGTTACTCATCCTAGAAATCTAGTTTTACCCTTAATTTTATATGTAAAGCTGCTTAACAGAAGGCATGCTGGTGGGGGTGGAATTGGGAGTGTTCTGTCTGAGAATCTTAGACATTATAAACCGTAGTTTATAGAGTGATTTGTCACTGCAAGTCCTCTGCACAAGAAGAAATAGAGCACCTATGCTTGTAGAAATAGGTCAAGAGTTGTGTGGATTTACATTTCCTGGCATTGGGCTGGAACTGTTCCCCATAACAAGAATGTCATACTGTAAACGCAGTTTGGTGGAAGCTAACTTTTAGATTTTAATTACACTTTGGTAAAACCTAAAATTGCCATCCAGAATTTTTAGTTTGCATATCCCATATTCTTTGACTGCCTTGGTGATACAGATATTGCATGTTTGTATTTGACTTAGTCATTCTACTTTTCAGGCTTCAGGCATGTTGCATTAGTAATTAAAATAAATGGTGTAAAATCACGCTGTAGTTTGGACTATATAATCTGTATGCCATTTTCTAACACTGTATTCAGGATGAACTTATAGCACTATGTATCCAATGGATAAATGTACTTATAATTAGTGTTTAGTTCCAATTAATGTTTCAGATCAAATAAAGAATGTGTGGAATAATTTGAATGTATATTGACTTTATTTAAGCAGTTTTGCTAATAGAAATAGAAGGTTTGAAGAACCTTCAAACAGAGCAACTATAAATTGTTGGATTTAACCAAATTTTTATTCCATTAACTGATAACTTTACTTTGGAAGTGATCAATGCCAGTGAAGTTAACATTGCTATTTACTTTTTTGGGTCTCCTTTAGCAAATGCCACTACATATGTAGTTCAGTAGGTATACAGTGAGAAGAGTTACTAGCTACGAAAATGTGGATAGCTTTTGGTACCTTTGTTGGTGTATTAAGCTCATCTCTGCCCTTTGGGATGTGATCAGTGTCGCACTCACAGAATGTTCACTCAAATGTACTTACATGAACCAGTTTCAGCCTGGAATTCTTAAAACTTTTAGCTGGCTAAAAGATAGGCAACCATACTTGGTAAGTCTTTGGGGGGGGGTGTTGGATTCATGACAGTTCATTATTTTATTGTCTGTCTGTATTATGCTGGGGAGAGGGGAGAGACCAGGTGGTGAAACCTCTGAGAGTCTAGCCTGAATATGTGAAGAAGAAGTGGCCATATTTATGTTCTTCTGTGTAAGATATCTTACGTTGGGATTCAGGCCAATACGGATTTTACATTTTTGAGGTCAGTTGAGTATTAACAATTTCCCTCTTCTTTTCCTGTAGGGTGCTGGCGATCTAGAAGATCCATGGTAGCCTTACAGATCTACTAAAATGCTTTTGAATATGAAAAATGGGGGAAAAACTTTTAATCAGTTTTCTTCAATACAAGGGAAAAATTCTGGTGGATTTCCAACACTTTTGTGAAATGGGCAGAGAAATTATTAGGATTTTCCATCATTTGTTCACATTTGTGTTTTCTGATATTGCCACTCTTAGCATTGCCTGTACTACAGTATTTTTACCAGCCTTGGGTGTATTGGTTACATCTTTATGGAGCCTGAGCCCTTAAAAACCAAGGAAGGAATAATGCTGGGAGCACATCACTAAATGTACATAACGTACCATGGGATTGTAGTTGTACTCTGAAGACACACTATGATTTAACAAAACTTAACAATATGAACACGACAAAGTGCAGATAATTGTAATGAGACACTTACTTACTTCACGTTACCAAGATGGAAGGCTTTTGAAGCTCGGGCTTGGAAGTCATTTCAATTGGGCAATATGCTATAGGATGTGTATTTTTTTAATTTTTCCAGTTTTACCTGTATTACTCGACTGTTAGGCTTTTCTCTACAGTGTCCAACTTCCAAAAAGTGATATGTTGCCTACTGCTTGCTTAAGAAAAATTGTATTTGGCAATAATATAAGGAGATTTTAGACATCTAAAACCAATAAGAATTTTACGCATGTGTATAACACATCCTTAAACTCTTGCTAGAAGAAATCTTTTTAAACCAAACAACTTAATTTATGGTTAGTTGTAATTTGCTTTGACATCTCACTCATTGCTGCAAGTTTTTTTAATGCTGAATATTTGCCTTTATTATAATGTAAATTGTGATTTTGTTCTAAATGTGGTTTTCTATAGTTTTTTTCCTTTGATTTCTATCAGCTTAAGAGAAGAGAGGTCTTATGTAATATGGGTATAATTTTTAATTGTGTGCATTATTTACAAAGTTCAAATTATCACTTTGAGATTACTATAAATACAACTAAAATTATCTATTTTAAATCTAAGAAAATATTAGAGATATTTTCATGGGTTCAGTGACCTTTCATTTTATAAGCAATGGGCATGGTACAGAGTGGCCGTCATGTAAGGTACTTGAAAATTCTTAGTTTAATTCTATTTTTGCAATAACTTTATTTTTTTTCTTAATTCTTTTGAGTTGTGCATGTATTGAGTCCAGTTAATGCTGAAAGTGGAGAAGAGTAAAGTATTTATCTAAAAATAAATAAATAAAAGCTATTGGGGAGGGGAAACAATGAATGTATCCATCTGTACATGATTTACATGCTGTGGATGCCTTGTAAACATTTTCCTATTTGTTTAAACTGTGTTTCAACCAGGATGTAATTGCCCTTGTGTGTAGTTTAAGCTAACGACAGTCATCAACTGGTTTTGTGTGAAATGAAATTCATGGTATTTTTATGTAACTTCCCCACACACACACACTTGAGTGTAGATCCATGTACACTCTTTATAACCTGGTGCCTACAGGCAGCTTTCCCAATCATTTGGTTCATTGTGTATCTGATTTGGGGGGGGGGAGTGAGGGTGGGGGGGAGGGGGTCTAGAGAGGATTATTGCCACAATATATTTTATTTATTCATTAGATTTTAGCCTTGTAAGTTAAAGTGTTCTAAATGATGATGTTAACAGGTATTTGTCCCTACTGGTTTTTTTTGGGTTGTTAAAGCTAGGGAGCGAAGAATGCAAAATGGTTTATTGTTCAGACTGTCTGCTCTGGTCCAATCCTGTACTGATAGTACCTTCCCAGTATGATATTGTGATGTTTCATACAATACAGTGAACATAACCAACTTGTTATCTTCAATAAAGGATTGCTAAAACAGTGAAAGGTGCTATTTTGTGGGAAAGGATCTAGTAAAAAAGCAATTGCTTTATGCAGATATGTTCTTTTATGTGTAATCCAAATGTGATTTTTTAACCTATTAAGAGCTTGGCCCCTTAATGTTTGTTTTCTGAACAGCAATTATATATTTCATCCATCCACAGATCATGATGAATTACAAGCTTATCCTGCTAAATAGTTTTGGAAAGATCCATTGATAGTCCTCAACATATTGGCTTTGATCCAGTAGGAGTTGTACAACAGTGGAATCAGCTGCCTAGGAAGGTGGTGATCTCCCCCTCACTGGCAGTCTTGAAGCAACATCTGGACAAACTCTTGCCAGGAATACTGTAGGCTGGTCCTGCATTGAGCAGGGGGTTGGACTAGATGGCCTGTATGGCCCCTTCTAACTCTGTGATTCTATGATCCCATCTAAAATTTCCACAGGTACAAGGGTAGGGATGGTTTTCGCCAGTTCCCCCCACAGCAGCTCAAAGTCCCTCCTGTAAGGTTGTTTCTCGGGTACAGGGTACCCTCCCTGGAATAGCTTGGAAGGAATTCATGGAAATTGTCTCACATCTACAGAAATTGTAGGTGGGGATCCAGGAGCATAAGAAGAGCCTGCTAGATCAAACCAGTGGTCCATCTAGTCCAGCATCCTGTTTCACAGTGCCTGACCAGTTACTCTGGAGGGCCACCAACAGGATATAGGAGCCCAAGGCCTTTCTCTGATACTGCATCCTGGCACTGGTATTCAAGACATGAGTGTAAGATCAATTTTACATCCAGATACTAATGGCAGGAATGAAGATTTTTGAAGATAAATTGGGGAAAGATGCTGGATTATTATTACTATAATTTGAAATATGCTCTGCTGTGATTGGTATAATTGAAAAAAAGCACTTGCAACTTCCATTTTGGTGTAGAATGGAAGTGCCTATACAGTATGGTGTATTCGTTGTACTGGATGCCAAAAGCACCGTGGTTTAATGCTTGATGGTGAGACCCTCCATAAATTGGTATCTTTTCTCCCTCATCAGGGCCACCAAGAAGCTAGCAGAATAAAAATCTACATGATAAAAACACATTTTAAAGCCACTAAATCCAAACACATCATTAAAACCAAAGCTGAAATACAATATGTACAAAAATACATACTAAAATTTTACAACCGATCTGGAAGGAGGGATCATTGAGGGAATGCTGTGCAGAACAAGTCTTTATCTACTTGGCAGAAGAGAAGAGAAGAGAAAGAGAAGAGACTCTTGCCCTCTGGGGCAAAAACTGCAGAGTTTTGGTGCCATGAATGAGAAGGCCCTCTGCTGGATTACCACCTACCTAATATCAGATGGTAGAGGCACACAAACCAGAGCTTCAAAAGGCAATGGTAGTGGTTGGGTAGGTTCATAAGAGAGTAGGTGGTCTTTCAGGCATCCAGGTTTCAAGCGGGGCTTTAAAAGTCAACACCAACACCTTGAATCTTACCTGGAAACAGAAACTGAGAGCCAGCATCAGTGGTATAACACTGGAGTGAAATGGTCCTTATGACTTACTCCAGTCAACATCTTGGCTGAAGCATTCTGCACCAGTTGAAATTTTCAAGCACTTTTCAAGGGCTGTCCCATATAGAACATGTTGCCAGAATCTAATCTAGAGGTAACCTGAGTATGCACCACAGTGGCCAGACTAGCTAACCAGATGAAGCTGGTGAAAGACGCTTCTGGTCACAGCTTACCTAGCAGTAGGTCTGGGTCCAAGAGCATCCCCAAACTATGCATCTGTTATTTCAAGGGTAGTGCAACCCCATCTTGTCAGGATTAATCTTCAATTAAGCCCACATCTGCTCCAAAATTGCCTTCAGGGCACTGGTTCAGGGTTCCTACAGCTTCCTGGGGGATTGGCTGGAAGACAACTGTCATCCACAATATTAGTGACAACCCACACTAAATTTCTGAAAGACCTCACCCAGCAGGTTCACATAGGTGTTAATATGGGGGACAAGATGAAGCCTTGTGAGACCCCAAAGGCCAAGGGGCTGAGCACCCCCACACCACCTTCTGAAACCTGTTCCCCAGGTAGGAGCAGAACTGCCTCACAGGCTGGAAAAGTGTTTGGGAAGGGTGCCATAACTGATAGTATTGAAAGCTGCTGAGAGATCCAGGAGTGTTAACAAAGTGACTTCCCTCAGTGCAGATCATCCTCCAAGGCTGTTTCAGTCCCATAACCAGACTGGAAAGGATTCATCCAGGAATGTTTGATGTTTATATAACCACCACCTATTCAATCACTTTGCTCAAGAATGGAATGTTTGAGACTAGTTGATAGTTATTGAAGTCTACTTGGTTTTGGGGGTAGGTTTCTTCACCTCCCCACCATC